GCTGCCTTTCGCCGTCTACTCCAATCGGCCATGACTTCGCTTAGGCCCTTCCTGATGACGCCCCTCTACCTTTTTTAAGGCTCCTCTCGGTCGCTTGCTTTGCGCATCGAAGTCTATCGTTTTCAAATCAGCTAGTCCTTGGAAACAGCGAGTTATCTTTTTAACCTCTTTCAATAGAAACAAAAGACAGAGACCCAAGTGAAGCTACACTCTTAAAACACCATATTTAAAAAAATCAGGTAAAATTCTGTGTTTTGTATATTTTTATAAGGACTAAATTAAGCCATCACAGCTTCCATAAGGCATTGCTAGCAAGATTTTGGAACGAAATCGTTCACTTCTTTTGAAGATATCGAGAAGATGGATCAGCCTATAGTTCTAGAACACACTGTAGCTGCAAAAGGCACGACACCTCCGTGAAAATAAGCGACTGGAAAGTGATAATGGCATGAGAATGATGGATTCACACCTGTTAGGAACCAAACCTGCACCACTCGCGTTGTGGCAGTTGTGCTATCGACCATAATTGAAAACGCCTCCGGGTCAAGAACTTTCAGAAAATACGAACTTTTTGTCTACATATCCGTTCCTGATTTTCCTAAGTGAATGCCTTGCTGCTTGCTATCCCATTTTTATTCAAACGACTTTTATATTAGCTGTTATTCGCTAATGAACTGCTCAAAACTCATTGAAGTAACAGTTCAGAACCTCGAGTAGAAGAAAGGAGAATTGTGATCCTAACAACAATCTTGGGCGAGCTACAAACATAAATGTCCTAATCTTTGTTTTGTGACCTATTCATGCTTTTCGAAAGTTTAACGCAGGTAGGAATCTAGCAAATGGCGCTGTTACCTCCTGCATGGCCAATTGATTGAACCCCCGCTCAAATTCCGTCAGGTCAACTCTTCTCCCTCCGTTTATAATCACACCTACCTTAAGTGAGTGGCTAGACGTGCTCAATATCGAATAATTTGATATTAAAAGTAAATTCGGTATATAGTACTTCGAACTCTGCCCTTACCGCTGGAATATTACTTGAGAAAAAAGACAGCCTTTTTTAAGAATTACTGTGAGCTCCATAACTTTGGACTCAAATAAATAATTTGAATTTGGCAGAAGAAGCTTCACGAAGAAATCTGAGAGAATCCAGAATTTAGAGCACTCTTTTACTGAGGAAAAACAAGAAAAAATTGCAAAAATTTGCTGAAAAAAAGACATAAAAAAGTACGACATATTGAACCTTTTGAGGGGTCAAATATTAGGTTGTCCCATAATTAGTGAATCACTTTACATTTATTGTTATTAAAAATCCAAGAAAAATGGTGAAGGCGTGAAACATGTTTTGCGAAGTAGCATCCACATTATCCTACCTGAGCAATTACTCAGCCCATTTACATGCTGCCTTCCGTGGCTGATATTTCAATTTTTCTGGAACCTATTTTTGAGCTCCCTTCTTAATCACTTCTGATTAGGATCTTTCAAACGCCCAACAACATAGAGAATCAACCAGCAGATAGGCGAGGGCACGCTCCCTCAATCCACGGTCTGCTTGTAGTTCACTCTATCGAGAGGTTGGCTTTTTTAGTTGAAGATGACCCACACTCCAACTACCCCTCAACTGGCAATCTCACTGCTGTACCCAGCGCCACTGAGCGTGGATATGGACAAACTAGCCGCGCTTTTGCTAGAGCATGCCCGACTTGTTAAAATAATGGAATGTAGACATCTACGTAGAGTGTTGACGTGGACTGCGTGAATGTACTTGCAATTCGGGAGCAGTAGCCGGCTGTGACGAGTTCGGTGAGTTTGGGATAGCAGAAGCCAAACCGCATTCTGGCCCGACCCTTCAGATATTGGTGGAGCACGAGTATTGGGTGCGCTGGGAACCGCCGCCTAGTAATACTAGAGTCACTGAAGAAGATCAACATCTACAGCGTAATGGCGGCGCATTCAATTTGAAAGTAAAGCAAGACAAAGTCTGCTTTTTTCCTGAGGTCGTTCGACCCACCTTGCGGAGAATATTCATAAAAAATTAGAGACTCTCAAGCTAGCCGATCTTCCACTTCCTCTGTGTGGCCCTATCCTCGTGCCAACAAGAGGCAACTCAGTCTGACCTCTAGCGCTCTTCCCCAGGAAGAAATTTTACGCTAAGTGACATGACCTCAAACTCGACTTCCGATCTTTCTTCGATCAATAGCTCCTGGAATTCTAGAGATAAGACAGCGACTAAATTTCCCTGTATAGGCAATACATTGTAGATGACAGAGGTGTATGTTTGGATGAGCAAGACTCCATATAAAAAGAAAAAAATTTGAATTCAAAAATACCCAAAGTGATTCACTAATTATGGGACAACCTAATAGATGGCTGTCGGAACTCTTAGGCTAGAAGCACAGTGAAGCAAGCAAACAGATGCAAAATTATTTTTGGTACTACAATTAGTTCATTTTTGTAATAAAAGGAAATACTCAGTTTTTTTTGAATAGTATTTTGTTATTTTGTGATGGGAACAAAACGACTTCCATTCAAGAAACGGTGCTCAAAAGAAAGCTCGGACCCTGTTAGCAGTTTAGATTATTCTGAAAAAAAGGAATCAAAAACATCGCCTTTATTCTGGTTTGAAAAGATACCCCATTGAAGTGAAAGCTGTCAGTGGTGTGAGTGAAATAAGAGAGCCAGTGATGTTGAGACACATTAACGGCTACCGTACCTCACGCAAGTGGTGGTGGAATGAGGGAAATGCCCAGTGTAAAGCACCTGTGGCAGCCGTCAGGTTGCACAGGTGAGTGAGGAAACAGATTACTTGATCACTCCGGCACTCGGACCCTCAGTTGATTTGTAATTTCTGACGCATTTCATCCTGCCATATTTCACCACTGCTGGCCAACTAATGGCAGCTGCACTCCGGAAACGGTCCATCTTCGAAAGTAAGTAATATATCGATGCTAGGTCATCAGCTATAGCAAAAAGTCGCAAAATCCACATCGTAGCTCCAGAAGAAGTCAACATTGATCACTTTTAATTTGGCGCTTTATCATATGGCGCATAAGAACCTTATCGAGAAGGTAATTTGCAGATATTGATGATCTCTTATCACCGGACACATCGCAGCCGTCAACGGCCACTGATAAAATGCAGGTTGTGATCCTTGATGGAACCTTCCGTTAACAAAGTGTATAGCTGTGAAAATTTCAGTGTCCGTTGTGCTCCAAATCTTATCTTACATTTTTCGGCCTGCGCAGGCACATGCAGGGCCACCAAGACGGACGAGTTGACCAAACATGCGCCCACTGTCACAAACACTACAAGTGAGTTTTTGCATTCATACATTCTTCTTATCCATCCTCGGTATTACTAATACAGAAGTATCGATGAGCCTCCCTTCTTCTTATAAATCAGTTTCTGTACAATCCCATAAATCGAGTGTGCCCCGAGAATTGTCGTTACCACAGGAAATGCTTTGTAGCTTGAGAATTGTGAGCCTTTGTTGGGCGGCAATATTTTGATGCTGAGCAGCACACCTGTGCGCACCTGTTCGCCTGGGTGTTACAAACGCAAAGAAAACCGGAAAGGCTTTGAAACAGGTGGCCTTGATGACAAGTGTGAGCTGCCGGGCCGCTGTACTGTTGGATTGATGAAACAGCATTTACTTCTCAATGTTTTCATCCATTTATCTGTAAAGTAAATGGCTTCTCAAGAGGCTCAAATAGTTCAGCCTTGGCTCCAAAACATTTCTGAAAGTAGCATTAAGCAGATGGGAATAGATTCTGCTACTGAAGCGACCTAAGGTTTGAGAATCATCGTCTTCAAAAGTTTTTAGGAGCCGAGGCCTCAGCGTTTGTGAGAAGAAATCGGCAGACCTTAGCTAATCAGTAAGAAGTAAAGCATAGCAACCTGCTGATGGGTCTTTCGGGTGTTATCGCGAAGGTACGGGGCATCCTCTAAGGCTAAGCTCCAACAGGGGACAGGAACGTCGGGGATTGAAAATCTGCAATTCCTCCTCCTCTACCCAAGGTTCAGTCTCGTTTTTGGCAAAAAGGAGAGTTTTATTCGGTCTGACCCACATACATTGCTACCACATGCTCCGTGTCTTGCGATACGTGCTTTATAATGTATGCTATACGAAGTTATTACGTGTTGTTGTGACTAATGTTGCTCAATCGCCTCATGATCGAAGGCATAATAGTCAACATTACCTAAAATACGCGTCATTCCAAAGACCGTGAACCACTTGGAAAGGAAAAAGGATAAAGCATTTGCCGTTGATCAATCCCTTTTGGGATGCGGCACGCATTCTACTTCCATTTGTACATTCGTAGTGGCGTTTGAATGCGATGTGGCCTATACAATGACTTGCGGGGGCCAGCCGATGTACAAGTCAGTGTTTTTATCCTCCCAGACAAGTCTGGTACCAATTAACCGACCCCGGAGGGATGGAAGGCTTGGTTGGCCCGGGCGACTCACGACCCAGGATTTGATCCCGGACCGCTCGCGCGTGTAAGCGTGCCACTTGCCACTACACACCACTTTCCGCCCGTAATTTGAACATGATCCAGAATAATACATCCTTTTTGCTCTACCTGAAAGCCTCAAATAGTGGCATCTCTACCGTATAACTTCAAACACATTCAACAACCGAAGTGTCCCACCTTAACCCGAAGTGTCCCACCTCAATCCCTCAGTTGAATGCTTGCTCAAGCTATGCAATTCAAAGGAACAAGGGAGTCTTTTGCTCGTGCACAGCCATTGTGAAAGTAAAATGATACGTTCCTGCACTTTTCTGTGTTTTCAAGACTCACGTAGTAATATGTGAGGGAAGAATCAAAAAATAGAAAAGAGAAGTGAGAAATTGTTTTTAAGAATTTGTTTGAAGCTCATTTCGCTCACAAGGAGAGACTAGTAGTCCCTGTAGAGAGCATTTTGTAGAGAAGCTTTGCTCTTGCAGGCCTTCAAATTAGGTTACCCTCAAGAGAGCATCAAGAGAGCATTTCGAATGATTGCCGCATACAGACTATTCGTCAAACTCTCAAAGCACTCTGTGAAGGTTGAAGGCAGTTAATTTGAAGAACCACTGAGAAATATTTTCTATATTATCATATTTGTACTAAGTAATATTTATGTTCGAGAATAATTCCCGAAATACTTGTTCGAGAACGACATCCAAGTATTGGTGCACTAGTAATTTTGCCCTACGTGTAATATAGAAGAAGTATAGAAGCTCCTGTCTCGCTGAGATGGAGAAAAGAGAGCCGCATCAGATTACCTTGAAGAGCCAGTTAAAACCACGACCAGCGCCAAACTTAGGAATTGAATCCTCCTACGTTTCATGGATCCGCGCACGCTCACGATGGTGGTATTTTATGTATCGTATTGCTGATCTACGATGCTCCTTCGCATGAATGTCTCTTCCTCTCTCCTCGGTCTCTTTTACCTATTATTTCGCCGTCTGCATTTTAGACTTTTCCACAGCGTAGAACAAGCTGACTTGATTTTTGGTTTTTTTCCTGTAGGTATTCCTTTCCTTTCTTCTCAACTGGCGGTCCAATGTGTATCCTCAACCTCATTATCGAGCGCTCCTTCTACACCATCTTGATGCTGAGGCAAGCCTTTAATCACTGACCACTGCAATATTTTAGCAGAAAGACAGCAAGACAGCGTGTTTCATTGATTTTCTTTTGTAATATGTTTTTCTTTCATTGTGGCCTTCAAAAACAGCTGAAGGGTGAAAATAATAGAAAATTTCCAAATTTTTTGCACTATTTACCCTTCACTGCCCCACTCCTCAAAAACTGAGCCGGATTTTATCGAAGTTTTTCTATGAGTGAGCATTTGGTTAAAAAAAATTGCCTCCGAGGATACTTCTACCCATAAAGGATAAAGGGGTGGGTGAAAGCGGTATAGTGGCAAGTGGCACGCTTACCACGC